AAGCGGTATCATTGGATAAACTGACGTCCCCGATCCTCTATGTACAATTGCACTAGGTGAAGTTTTTTAGCAGCTATTGATCAAGTTATCCCAGGTGACTACGAATTGCTACAATGCGATGCAAAGCGAGAGTGGTGTTACTGCGCCGATGCAAAAACTGGAAGGGAGGCACCGAACTCACGCAAAGGAACGGGAGAGAACAAATACATCATCTGTGGAAGTACAAGTGGGTTTATAGATACATACATGCTGATTATAGAAATGAGGCCTTAACTTCTTTTCCCTAGAACCAGGTAATTTTCTAGCGTTACGGTCGAGGAATTCATGCCCATCGCTCTCTGCTGTGCGAGGGAGTAGAGCCGGATAGGTGATTAAGCGGCGAGAAAGCACTAGGACGGCCGCGGTGACGAGAGTGTAGTTCACGGGCGCGGAGAGAGCGTAAAGGAATTAGGCGAAAATCTCGGATTGCGTTCGAGGAGATCTCAAGGAATGCTCACCGTGGTGTCGACGGCGTGAATGTGTTAACCAATTGTAATATTGCAGATAATTCCATTGACCCCAACGAACTTTTCTATGCCGACGCTATCTTACAACAGCGGGAACGCTACTCAGTCGCAAGCCCGACATGCAAACTGGACAAAAGTAAGGGCGTGGCTTGTCAAGGTCAAGGGGCCCAGCCTTCAGTTAGGGTGAGTGAATTTTTTTGTTAGTTTTTTCGGGTTTTTTCACACGCTACGGAGCGATCGGGTAGAGTAGGAGAGGTATGTCGGTTGGGATTAGTGCCGTTGGGGGGGGAGGAGCATCAGCAAGGGGAACTAAGTTACGTACGGCAGAACGTGAGTATTCTTGATTGGAGCAGTAATCCTCCGGGGGGGGGGGTTGCGCCGCATTATAGAATGCTCTGAGGGCTAACTGAAGCCTTGTGTCACAAACTGACGATTACATGAACCACTAATAAGGAGAGTTGTATGTTGTATATGTTCTATTAGGTTGTTCCATAAGTAGTGTCGTTCCTATTCAAAACAGGAATTTTCTGCCAAAAGCTATAATTTTTTTATATCGATTTCCATTCCACACCTTTCGAAAGAGAATCGTCTGCTCTATAAAATGCTATGTAACGCTTGTTCATTCGTTGCAAGATCTTTGAACTTCGACCTACGGAATGCAAGGTTAAGTTTTGCACACCAGTGTAGCTTCTCCAACATCTAGCTCAAATTCTGAGTTCAAACTCCTTATTCAAAATGAGTGAATGATGTACCCCCACCTTAATCATGAGCTGTTCTGAGCACGCCGCTATTAGGCTTCCCAACACGTCGCGTCGTTGATTTTACTTTTCTGATTGAATTTTCCCACCTGAAGTGATGGTCAAGCTCAATCTCCTGAAATCTCCCCAAACTTTTTACAGCCGAGATATTGAAAACTAGTGGAATATTAAGAACAATTCAGCACTAAGTTAGGGAAACAAGTTGCTTGTTTATTTTCTTATCTTCGTAGGAATTTTTTCGAAGTTGACTTTTTGTGGATGTTGGCCCTCATCAAGCAAGCCAAGAACTCGATCTAATACACAGAGAAAAAAGGAAGGCATATGAGCGATTAGAGGAGAAAGAGCTTCACGAACGTTATTCAACGCGATGAAATAATGGGGTTTTAGACGAAGAATTTCAGCTCAAAAATCGTTACAGCTTATCGGTCGACCAGAAAAGCCGAATTCTAACACAACACGGTAAAGACTTTTCTACAACCGAACAGCGCACTGCTTAGAGGGAGTTTATGATGGAATCAAAGATGCACTATTGATTGACTTCTCTTGTGGAAAAATAGAGTTAGTTGTCGGTTGTTGTTGATTTTCGTCGACTGGACCTCCTTTTCGCAGGTCTAAGTTTAAAACTCTACGACGAGTGCGGAAGCGAAACATAGCGTATCATAGAGGAAACGATTCTCTTCCGGGTAATAGATAAAGTTATGTGATAACTTGGGCGAAAGCAGATAATTTGATTTGAAAAAAACGACACTACTCAATATGTGCTATATCACATACGTTATAGAGCATGCTATTGCGAAACTTCACGTACTCAGGTAAACTTGCGGGAGAAACCTCCAAGTTACGGGCCGCAGCAGTGTCCGACACGCCTACTCGCTCGTGATTGGCTACCACCACGCGAGTTACTGTGTGCAAACTCGAGCCAGCCAGTCATAGACTAGTGGGCGAGCCCACAGCAAATGCTGCCGACCGCGCCCGTAACTCGGAGGTTTTTCCTGCAAGTCTATCTGAGTAGGCTGTAATCATGATGACAAGCACTTATATTTACAACGAAAGAAACGACGAAGAAATAGGACTACGCTGAAAAGAGGAATTAGGAAAGAATAGTTATTAGAACTACGGATTAAGAAAGGACGATAGGAGCTCATTGGAATGGTTAGGGTATGAACTATATCGTCGGGCTGGTAACGTTGTGATGAGCAACTGCTCCTACTGCTTGATACTAGAAAAAAAAACGCAAAATTGCTCAAGGCGACAGAAAGGCGACTGAGCTAGTAGCAAACTAGCAGAGCTTCCACTCCAGGCCTTTTTTCCTTCGAATCTCGGTAAATGGTGCCTTTGCTAGCTGACTCGTGAGAGGGCGAGGCGTGGAACATTAACATCAATCAATAACATCAATAACAAAACATACTTAAACGAATCCTTCGCGGAAAATCTCTTGCATTCTTTCTTGACATGAATGTGTCAGTTGTGATCACTGGAAAACAGCACACAAAGTTTCGCGCATGAAGATTCGGTTTCCGAAGAGAAACAAACGTACAAAACTACATATATGGACATCGAAGGTAATTTGGGCGGAGCCAAAGGCGAGGCATGGAAAGAAGTGGCTTGTGGCCGACTACGTACGATGCAATGAAAGAATCAGGTTAAAGCGCGCGATTTTGTAGAGTGGAGACAAATCGATGGAGTAGAAGCGTGAGATGTGAATGGAATAAGTCAGAAAGGCCAGGAAGAGTTTCCAGTGAAGGCACTCTAAGAACCAAGTGGAGGCATCCCCGTCGCCAGCATTTGTGAAAGACGTCCATGGGCAACTTGAACGCGTAGCAGCCCTTCGGGGGGTTTTTCGAAAATTTTCAATAGCAAATATTTCTGTTTTTCAGGTTGGAGTCATGTATGTATAATGAGGCTCAAGCAAGGTGATTTAATGGCTGAAGTAGAATCATAATTTTTCGGGGGAAGGATTCCTTACGCAATTGTTTCCAGACAATTCAAGTTAGCGGGTGTGGAAGCTACGGCTTGGAGCAAGCACCTCAAGGGGTATCTACTTTTTGGTGCAAGCTTTGCCATGATCTCTCATCTTTACAGGACCCCAATGGCTTTCAAGCGGAGAAGACTTCTCTACGCGTCATTCAAGGAAGGACCGAGAGGGGTGCTAAGATAGTAATTTCTCCCCCACAGTTGAAGCTTGCACGGCGGGCGGGGCCTCTTGATATGCAACGGCGCGGATGGAAATGAGAAAATGGAGCCGATGATGATTTCCCACGTTCGACCACGAAGCTTGTACCCTACGCTTTCTAGTCGATACCAGGTCAGTGAAGAGCTACGAAGTTTGCTAGGGCCTGATAAGGCGGGTCACTGTCCTTAACTGCTTAACATCGGTTCATTGGGTCTCTTACCCAGTCCACCATGTCATTTCCTCTCCCACGGGATTCGTCGCAACCACTTCCATCGAGCTGAAACAGGTACCTGGATTTTGTATGGTCAATGGATCCCTGTCTGGGAAGATATGAACATGCGCTTTGGATCCTGCTTGGGATTACACAAAATAAAGAAAGTTTCAAGAAAGAGCGACCTAATCGTTCTCTGGTGCTTCGGTCTTGCCACATTTTGTATTTCGCGGACTTTCGCTTCTAGCGATTAAAAAAATTATAATACTTACAGTACTATTTCGATTACAACACGGCTACCTGTCTAGCTTTCGAATATCTTGGTTGCGGTGGGAATGCGAACAACTATCGCACTTCTTCGGACTGCTTTTCCAATTGTTTTTTCGGTAAATTTCCTCGCCAAATTTCTTATGAAAAACCCTTTCGATTGTTGGCAAATTTTCAGCGGATCAATCTGGATGTGCCGGTATGTATCCTTCAGCCCGACTGTCAAATGGGTACTCAATCATCTGCCCACGACTAATGTTACCTCCTGGTGAGCGCTTTGAATAAGCGGAATAAAGCGCTCTTGGCGGCAGGTTTGCAAGCAAACGATAATTGATTTGCGTACACCTCTCACCGATGTTTTGTACGAATAAATGTGCCCACGTCATTTGTACAAACCTACCTATGTTTTTTTTGGGTAAAACCTCTCAATACCTCACAGGCAGTAATGGTAGACGAAGTTATGCATGGATGAAATGGAGGGAGTCCACTGGAATCCTCTGCGATCGAAGGTGCTCCAGAGCGCTCAAAGGGAAGGTGTACCGGACAGTGGTAAGGCCTGCGATGCTCTACGGCAGCGAGTGCTGGGCCTTGAACAAGAATCACGAAAGGCAGCACTCTGCCGAAATGAGGATGCTGAGATGGGCCTGCGGCTGGACGCGGCTGGACAGGGTTAGAAACGAGGACGTCAGAGCGGTCATGCAGACTGCCCCTGTCCAGCTGAAGGTACGGGAACAGCGTCTGCGATGGTATGGGCATGTGCTAAGGAGGCCACAGGACCATCCGATAAGAACAGCGATGGACTTCGAAGTGCAAGGCAAGCGACCGCGCTTCTTCTTCGCTTTCCTTGTCTGATTTTCTAACGAATTAACCCACCGATTCGGATCGCGACCAGTGTCTTTTAGTGCCGAGCCGAGCTTTGTTGCACTGGGGTGAGAAGATTTACGTTTGCTCACAACAGTTAAACGGTACGATAGCATAGAATAGCACGAAGAGGTGGTCGCCGATGAAAACGAACAGCTCAGGCGGTAAGGGTGCAGTGGTCAAGAAAAGGCTAAAAGAGACGGCCTGAAACCTGCAAGCGGGATTCCGTGAATGCGATTTTCCGTAAGATAGAATGAGCCACATTCGTGCTGGACGTCATCGGTAACATGCTGCGTTCTGCCATCTCTGCTGAACAAGGCTAGAGTCCGGACGGCGATGGTCTGATTAGCCAAATGGGGGGAGGGGGGGCACACAGAGGGGTCGAAGGAGGCGAGGAAGATCGCTACTACCTTTCGCCCGCGATGGCGTTACGTTTTTCTTCCTGGTAGATCACAGTTTTTTTTTATAAAAAACCCTTTTGCCATTATTATACGTAAATTTAACACTTGCCATGATTCATTACGTAATTCTTGTAAATGTGCCACAGCCGCACTTTCAAATTTTTATAATCTTTCTGGAGGGCCATAATGTGGATCAGAGGACCTGGGTCATAATAGTTAGTTCGGTATCTTTGCAGCTGATTAGGTTTTAGTTCCTACATCTTCTTGGGCGGACACGGTCCGATATCAATATACTTACCTTAGGGAAGCTCATCATTCTCATTAGTAGCACCAATTCAACTCAGCCAATTCACTTTCTAGAAAATAAGAACACTTCTCAATTGTGGAAATTTATCGAGTAGCGTATCAATGCTTCTCTGGAGCTGTTTATTTACAGGCACAAATTATTTCCGACAGCTTCTAACCGTTAAATATGTCCTGCTTGCGATTCAGTAGTCATTTTATGGTTGGGAAGCCCAAGTGACTGAAAAAATGATCATTTCAGGCACCAAACCTGCTACGACGATAGTAGGTCCAAAGCTCAACAAGGAGGACTGTCCGCTGGACCATTCATGCAGAATGGGAGCATTTTTTGGAACCTGTTGCCCTCAGGCGAATGAAGGTAAAACATTGAACGATGTTATAATTGTTTAAGCAGGTTTATATTGGATAACTGCTGTTTTACGCCGCAGCTCGCGTTGCGAAGTTATCACAAGAATGCTGGGTTGTGGGCAAAACTTTCGCCCCAGCCTGGGATTCGTACCCGGATCTCTTGCTTTCCGGGCAATTGTGCTACCAGTTACACGTGGGGGAGCGCCATTTTTCACGCGCGACTTACGATGAAGAATGATATATGCTTATTAGTACACATAATGAGAGAAGCAGTTAGCATATCGGCAGGTTAAAACCGCAACGCTGAAAGCGGGTATGTGCGACCTTTTTTCATTTTTCGACAGACGTTTCAGGTGTTCTTATCACTTTGTACGTGTGAATGCTCATAAGCTATGGTACTTTAACATTGAAGCGGTGGTGCCCTGGTGGTGCAACTGGAAGCAGGAGGTCCAGCTACGAATCCCTGCTGGGCAAAAGTTTCGCCCACAACTCAGCATCCTTGCTTAAAGGCACAACCCAGGCAGAGGTCGTGCGAACGCTTCTTTTCGGTCCTTAGTGTAGAGTCCTAAAAGACAATCACAAATGTGGCGTTGCCGTTCACGGAAACCAAACTGACGAGAGCGCTTGATCCTTTGCAAAGTAAGCTGCCCGAAGCTGCAGATTTTTTTTCTCTTGTCAATCGAAGGCATGTTCTCTCATTCTGTTCAGCGCTCTCTCGCCCCCTCCTCCCCTCCGCGCTTAATTTCTCATTCCCTTAGCACAGCCGATTAGGATGGTGAGTGCGCCTTTAGACTAACAAGGGAGGTCGTTCAGGGTGTGGGACGCTTTTTCAAAACGGTTTTTTGCATGCTGATAGGCTCTCACGGCATCAACATTCCATTTTCGCTGAGCGGCCCCCTGAAGGTCAGAAAAAGGTCGAAAAAAAGTTGGTAAGAATGGGTGGTTTTCAGTGCCTTGGAGTGGTGCTTTGAACTTGTGGAAAAGATCACCCGCAAATTGAAGGGTACTGATGAAGACGGTATCGAAAACAGCGTGAAATTCGCTCAAAATTGAAGTCCTGTCAGTGGTAGTGCTGAAGAATGTACGAGGGCTTCATAGGCGTAGTCGGCATCCTACACGCGAGCAGCAAAGTGGGGATCAAGTGACTAGCGCGTTGGACTCTCAGTTTGGTACGGGTTTGTTGCCGTTCGAGCCGCCCTAACGCATCGCTTTGCATTTTTATAACAATTCCCGAAACTTGGCGCAGAATTGTCTATGTCAACAGCCTAACGCTATATTCACAGTCAGAACAACCAGTAGCCCTATAAATCGATTTTCTATAAAAACTGGCGGGATAAGTTTGCAGCGCCAAACTGGCGTCAAATGGCGCCTACGCCAAAAACGAAAGCCATATTCGTGATCAGGACCCTGATTTACCCCCACATGCAGAATTTCGGGAAAAATCGAGGTTTTGACCTAACTTCGCAAAAGGGGGTGACCATGAGCTACAGGTCGTCATGCACGCCAGCGAGCAACTTGAAGACGTGCGCGGCGCGGAAATCAAAGCGGAAATGCCTTGTTGGTTCACGAGAAACCAAAGTTCAGTTTTATACTTAACGATCTCCATCACGTCGCAGTCCTTGAATCGATCCAGCTATCGAGATGCAGCCGAGCGAGTGGAAGACCCAGTGGGCCCAATAATATACCACGTCCTGATGGAGGGAGGAATCTGTCGACTTCGAAATCATGGTGTCTTGTTGTCCATCACCAGCTTGGGTGTCTGCCGTTGTCCATTTAGTATTGGAACTTCTCATTATTTGAGAAGGAGAACAAGGAATTCGTTTCCAGATCACCAGCTGCAGGTACTTACGGGCTGACCTATCAATGGCCAATTTTTCGGACCAAGGTCAAAATCTCAATTTTGTCTAGAACTGCTAATTTAGAGAATATCGAGTAGCCCTGATCACGAATATGACATCAATCTTTCCGTAATAACTTTCAATTTAGCGCTTTTTCGGCGCCATTTGGCGTCTTTTTGGCACTACAACTTTTTTCCGCTAGATTCTAGCAATAGTTCGAGTGCAGTACTCATTCATGGTCTTGATAATGAATACGGTACCTAATATTGGTGCTGGCGCTATTTTGAGCGAATTTCGAGGCTCCAGTCCGAATGCAAAAATTTTGTCATCAGGAGGGACTGAACCCTGGACCATTTCTTTACCATTTTTTGACCTTCAGGGGGCCGCTCAGCGAAAATGAAACATAGTACTGTAGTCCCCGTGAGAGCCCCTACAGCATGCAAGGAACCGTTTTGAAAAAGCGCTCCACACCCTGAACGACCTCCCTTGTAAGAGCTATAGACGGATTCTTTTTTTTCGTGTTGTTGGCCGACCCACTTCAGCGACCATTTACATCCGCATTCGTGTACAGGCAGCCATACCAACGTGACCCTGATTCATGCCTCTTTAAATGAGGTTTGCAAGAGAGTGGTCAAGACAGCATTAGTGATGCTTAATTGGCTGACTGAGGTCTCGTATTGCAGACTCTTTTTGTCAGATCAGATATTAGCCTAGGGAAAGAAGCGATTAGTCACGTGTGTTCATTGATGCTCTTTGAATATTTGCGTTAATGGCTTACGTAACACTGAATTCAAACTCGTCCAGGTGCGAAATCCGTTGATCACAAGGTGCTACACTTACGGAGTGTATGACACCTTTTAGAATTCTTCTTCCACACGGGTCGCTTATTTATCTGAATTAAAGGCAAGATTCGGGATAAAATAGGTGTCTAAAAGCGTTCAGTCATGATACTAGAGGTGGGAGGTGGTCTATAAAAGAGAAGGAAAGCAAACGAAATCACAGATTACGCCCCGTACAGAACCTCCTCCCCTATTTCAGCACATTCCACCTTGGGATAGAGAAAAGGCGCGTTGGACGAGTTTCGCGAGCCTGACTCTAGTTGCTCCAGTGCCATTGACAACAGGTCGCAGTCAGGGGACGGCTAGCCTCAAGGTGGCAGAGCGCTTGTCAAGAAGACATTGGAAGGGTGGCGCGCTTGCGGAGAAGGATGCGAAGTGCAGGCTGCTTGTGCCTTTGTCGCGCCACTTCTAAGCGGGCAGAAAAGGGTGCCACAACAACACTTGTCCGCCTGCCTACTAACTCCGGGATGGAAGAGGCGAGCGCGCCTAATCGCGGAGCGTGCCTTTAATGGAAGCAGAGTCAAGGTCACACCATCAGCATGCTTTTGAAACATGTTTTTTTCAGCTGGCACTTTATATTGGAAGGATAAGAGGTCGCAATGAAGTTATTTCCATTGACTTACCCTTCCGAAAGAGCCAAAAGAGGGAGTCATGTTTTTTTCGGGTTGTGAAATGCATGCGCGTTTGTCAGCAAGTGGCATCTCAAGCATGTCCGAGAATGTTGACACGCAGTGTGTACGGTTATTACCTGCTGGATTTCTTGCAAATACACTCTCTGCGAATCGTGAATCTCAAAGTCTGGTCAAGGTGCTTGAAGAGAGGCCTGAAACTTTTTTTCCAGATCGATTCGATGCTGCTTATAATCGGAAGTGCAGCAACGGTCGTGAACCGTACTCGATACCTAAAGATGGCTGGCGGAGAAGTCCTACGTGGGAAGACATGCAAGGACAACTTCTGCCCTACGGGATACAAATGCCAGGATGCTGACGTCTTTGCTATTTGTTGCTGAACCAGCATAATACATTGGAAATGCCGTGTAAATAAAAATTATTACCCTGTGACACTTGTTGTGCAATATATACTAGCTGGCTATTTATTCAGACCTTCATCGAATGCTGTACCGGATGATGGGCTTCAAAACTTGATGGTTTATTTGAAAATGTTAATCCACCCTGCAAGCTTGAAATCGTCCATTACTAAATAGACAATGACATCCGTTTGCCGCGACTGAGCATGTCGCAATTGCAGACGTAGTAACAAGTCAATCAGAAGTATCAGAAGCACCAAAATGCAATTGATATTGGGTTTCCAACGCCGTTGCAGTGAGCATCGCTGATTCTGGAGATAGTACATGCCCAACGTTCGAAAACAGTGTAATTATACAGGGTGGCCACAAGTTACGGTAGATGAAGTGGCCATGAAAAATTGATCGAGTCAAATAAAGACATTCGGGAAACAGATCTAGTCCCAATTGAAGGTAAAAACGAGGTACAAGATCACTTCTCAAGTTGGCTCAACGTTTGCATTGACGAAAAAGCAAAGTGTTCCGATCGTAATACTTTACTGTTCACTGTTACCACGACCTGTTACTGGTCAATGGCAAACTCATGCTGGAGATCGGCAAGATAGATCACTTTTGAAAAGTAAATATTTCGAAATATTCAACAGATAAAGCATTCAACATGTGAGGCAACGCCTTCTAATGGACCATTATAAATTTCCTAGATAAGTTGATGCATGTATTGTTAACTTG